TAGTGTTTTATCAAGTTTGCTCATATTAATTTGATTGGCCCCTTTAAGGGGCCACTAAAGCTAAAAATAGAAATACCGTTAAATGTCTATTTCTAGGGAACTAATTGATGGATGATCACCAACTTTTGTCTGTAGCATTGTTGGGTAGTCTTTTATCAAGGTTGTTAATATTATTTTGATTGGCCCCTTTAAGGGGCCGCAAAAGCTAAAAATAGAAATACCTTTAAATGTCTATTTCTACAGTATTAATTGATGGATGATCACCAAACTTTGTCTGTAGCATTCTTGGTTAGTGTTTTATCAAGTTTGCTCACGCTAATTTGATTGGCCCCTTTTAGGGGCCGGTAAAACTAAAAATAGAAAAACCTTTAAACATCTCCTACGTCAAAACCAATTGATGGATGATCACCAAACTTTGTCTGTAGCATTCTTGGGTACTCTTTTATCAAGTTTGCTTATATAAATTTGATTTGGTGAGCGACTAAGGGCCATCATGGCCCTCTTGTTTAAAACTTATTTCTAGAAGCAAAGCAAATAAATGGTTAAAACAAATTTGGAAAAAAATAAAGACAAAAAATAAACTAATAACTTTTTCCTTTTTTTAATTTAAAAGTTTATAAAGCTATATATCTGATGCAAAAATTATTGTTTGAATTTAAAAATGTATACTTATGCTGGTATTAAAGCGAATAATGCATGCATACAATCATTGCTAAACTGATAAAACCCTACTTAAAATAGAAAAATAATATTTTGTTCCGGAACATTCTATTCTGTTTACGTACATTACTCATGCGTATTTGATCATAGAGACGTTCTATGTTATGATTTTTTCGGGAAACAATCATATAATAATGGAACCAATATAATCTTAATAATGATAAATTTTATAAAAATATTTCATAAGATAAAGATTTATACCCTTTAAAACGGAAATCCCTCAATTTTGTTGTTTTGTCCAAGCATGAATTATTCAAAGTTCAATTTTACATCTTTAATCGTGCGCATGGTTCAAATTTCATAGCTGTACATCAAAGTTCAAGAAAGTATGTCACTTCGTCAAATTATTTAGGTCAGATGATCAAAGTTTAATCTAACTTCTAAAACTGGGCACATGGTTCAAATTTTATAGCTATATATTAAAGGATAAGAAGGTAGACCACTTCATCAAGATCTAGGTTAGCTGATATCAAAGTTTAATTTTACATTTAAAACTATGTACATGGTCAAATTATATAGCAGTCCATCAAAGGAAATAAAATAGGTCATTTCCTCAAAATCTAGGTCAGCTGATATCAAAGTTTACATTTATATCAAACTAAAACTGTGCACATTGTTCAAATCTCATTGCTATAGGAAAAGATAAGAGAATTTCACTAATTTGACATTGACAGTCAAGACCAATTAAAGGTCAAGTTCACATGTAAATTATTAAATATGTTTGTTTTGTTCAAGTGTAAATCAAATTGTACATAAATAACAAAATTATGGGAATTTAACCAAATCCAATAATTTGACCTTGACGTTCAATGTCATTTAAAGCTTAAGGTCAAAGTCAATTTTTTAGAAGGTCTTGGTTCAAGGGTTGCTTTATCCAAGCATAAAAAATAATCCATATATAAATTACCAAGTTACAGTCAATTATAGCAAAAATCGGTGAAAGTTCAAGAATTTAACTTAAAAGGTCATAGACTTAAATAAGCAAAGGCCAATTTGAGTTTAATATTAATGAAAGTCTTATCGTCAACAATTATGTGTCTTAATAACAAGTCATTCCATTCATTAAATACAAACTTATAGCCAGTTATGGTAAAAACATCAATAATGTAACGTATTTTAGGATAGCTGTTTCAAAAATACGTCACAAGTTCTACTGTATACAAATATATACTAAGATTGATGATACGTGGCATCAATATACAGTACTTAGTTTTAATAATTATGTTAGAGTTTGTTTATTTCCTAAACGCTTTTATCAAGTTTTAATTCTTTGATTTAATATTCGTTTACTGTTGGCGTAGAATTTATAACATGAATACGCCAGCTCTCATTCGAGAAAAATTGCTTATCAAAATGTATAATACAAATTCCACTGTGGTTTAGCAGTTATTCCTAAACAGAAACTTAATAAGTTGGAGTTAAGATGCTTTCTGATCAATTTGAATTATTGCACCTTCGCAATTTTTGTGGGCGTTGTTTTTCTTAAATATGAATTGTCGCTCTATTTATAACCTCTGAGCCGTTTAGAAACTTAGCAGAGGTTTCTCGACCAATTAGACTGCACTTAGGATTTATCTAAGCCAATCAGAACTGGTTAGGAACTCTCATCCTGAAACAGCTCAACATTTAATAATTATAAAAAAACAAAAACTGAGTAAACATATAAAGTTAAAAGTCATCATTTTGTTGAGAAATACAACACTTATGTTAAGAAATGTATTTTAATTAAATAGTTGGTAATTTGGCAGGATTAATACAATTCAAAGAGAATAAGGTTGATTCCACAACCTAACTTTACTACGCGAATGACCAAATAAATAGTGCGGTCTTGCTTTACAAAAAAAGCCATTACAGTAAATCTCCTGAACAATTTGTGAAGCAAACATTATAATCACTTAATACAAAATACATAATTATTATACAAGTGAAATATGATTCATTTCAATACAAAACTACAGATATCACTACGCATGTATAAAAACAAAAATGGCAGCCTCTATCAACATTTTCGGAAAGTTTTAGGAATTACTATATTGACAAACATAAGTTGATTAGACAATTACAGATTATTTCATCTTAACATAATGGATACTACAAAAATGTTGAGTAACATACATGTTAATCCAGGAATAAAGAAATAAATATGTTTCCTAAAATGTTTACATCTAACACGAAAACCAGAGAAAGATAACATCTAATTTTAGGAATGTTTTAACTTTATATAAAGTAAATTTTTAGAGTGCTGAAAATAATATAATTAGTTTACTGTCCTTATTATTTAAACAGGAACATTGTGTGTATGTTACTTAAACTCTAAAAGTGACAATAAATAACAATTCTAATAAATAAATAATGATTAAAAAAGAATACTTCATAAAAAAGAACAAGATTTACATGCCTTACAATAATATGACCTAAAGGTCATTTATAAGTGAATGTCAAGGTCTGTCTGGTTAACTCAAAGGTCCTGTCGCTAACATAGCGATTATGTAACGAATACTTGGTATTTAAATGCTGTTCTTTGAATATGCTCCTTTAAACTTTATTGTATGTTTATACTCCGTTTATTGCTCCTTTGGTTTTCGCGCCAAAGTCTTATTATATTACATTGCTCCTTTTAACTTTCCCGCCATTGAATTCCCGCCACAAACATTTCACGTGCTTTTCATAATAGCATTGTATAAATAGCGACCGCATGGTCACAGAAGTTTAGTGTGTGTTAAAAAGTATTGTAAGAAGGAAAGTGATTGAGATATGAAAAGGATTTTGATGTAAAATACATTTAATAGTAAAAAAGTGTTAGAGAGATAAAAACTTGTGGATTGTAAAAGTAAAGATAAAAAAGTGTTTAAAAATTGAATATTAAAAGTAGAAACGAAAAAGTGTTTCTCTTATTTTCATTGTGTTTACGACAATGAAAATGGTCCCGCGAACCGGATACGAAAGTGGATGTAAAGTGTGAAGTGAAAATAAAAATTGAGAAGTGACAAAAGGTGTTTAGTGCATTTCAAAAGTGGATTATTTCTTTACTCGATTAAGTGTTCTGATAAAATTGTGTTTGTGCAACCTGAATATATATTCAAAATGCCAACTGTTGCTTCATTGAAAGGAGTGAGAACGAAGTACAGAAAAGTGGTGATAACTGAGCTTCAAAAAGCAAACGACCTTCTGAAATGTGAGGTGAGTGCAGTGTCAAAAATTGAGTTTTTAAAAGATGTTCAAAGGTGTAAAAGTCTATTGAAATCCTATTCTGAGAAATTGATGAGTCAAATGGATAAACTATCAGAACGTTTAACTAAAAGTGATTCGGAATATTTGCAACAGATTGTAGATGAGGATTGCAATTTGAATTTCGAGGTAGAAAATTGTATCATTGATTTAGACCAATTTTGTGAGTCAATTGTACCATTGAAACATGATGAGAAAGAAAAAGAGACATATCAAGAACAAATGCAAAAGATGATGATGACACAAATTGAACAGCAACATCAAATGATGGTGCAGATGCAAACGGACAGAAAAAATACAAGTGCAGTTAAATTACCAAAACTTGATTTGGACATGTTTTACGGAAACAAAATAAACTGGTGGGAATTTTGGGACTCTTTTGAATCCATTGTGCACAGAAACACCAAACTATCCAACATAGAAAAGTTTAATTATTTGCTAAGCAAACTAGGCGGAGAAGCGAAGAGAGCATTAGCTGGACTTGCGCGTACCAACGACAATTATTCTATTGCAGTCGGAATTCTCCGAGAGAGGTACGGCAATAAACAAGAGATTATTGATCTTCATTACAAAGAAATGCTTAATGTTCATTCACCAACTACAAAGGTTGAAAGCCTACGATTTTTTTTGGATAAAGTTGAAAAAACATTACGCAGTCTTGAGATGCTAAAGGAAAATGTTAATCAACATGTTTTTGTTTCAAAGATTCGCACAAAGCTGCCAGAGGATGTGCTCCGGCAGCTGGAAATAATAAAAGGAGCAAAGAATGAGTGGACTGTTGACAGTTTGCGTGATCACCTACGAGATTATACATTACCGCTTGTGAAAAGTCTGACAAAGGAAAGAGTGATAGAGTGCATGGAGGTCAATTTAATTCAGTGAACAGGGGAATAAAGAAAGACGGAGCATTGCCAACGAATACTTGGAATAAAGATTTTCATAATCAACATCATTTTCAGAAATTCCGTAGCAGTGCCGACACATTTGTGGCCAATGAAACTGTTCATAACAAGCCAGTGTGTAGATATTGTGCAGAGAATCATTGGAGTGACATGTGTACTCGATTTGCAACATTGGAAGAACGGAAAAACAGAATCAGAGGTAGTTGTTATCGTTGCCTAAAGGATGGTCATGGAATTCGTGAATGCAAATCAAATAAAAGGTGTGTGTACTGTAATCAATTCAATAGACATCATAGAAGTCTGTGTCCTAAGAAATATAAACAAACAACACAAGAAGACTCACAGATGAGTGCAACGGAGCAAATCAATAATATCTCACCGATGGAGCAAAATGAAGAAAATGCTATGTTGTCTCACGGAGAATCTGTGTTTATGCAGACGGCGCTAACTGATATTCAAAACCCAACATCTAACGAAAGTGTCAAGACAAGAATTCTTCTTGACTGTGGCTCTCAGAGAACATATATCACACAGTCACTAGCTGACAAATTAAGACTAAAGAAGCAGTATGTCGAAGAGTTACATGTGTTTACATTTGCGGTAAAAGATGCTAGAGTGATAAAGACACACGTGACCTCCATCAATTTAAAGTTAAGAAATGGACAAAAGCTATGTCTTTAAAGCAAACATTGTACCAGTGATAAGTGGAAGCATACATAGAAAGTCACTGAATAAACACGTCCTGAAAGAATTCAGAGATATTGCAGAAAAATTTGGATCTAGCTGATACGTTTCCCGAAAAAAATGAAACATCTCAAATAGAACTTTTGATCGGCAATGATCATTACCTAGACATTGTACTTCAACAAAAGATTGAAGTTCAGCCCGGATTGTATCTGATGTGTTCTAAACTCGGTTGGATTCTAACTGGAAGGTCATACTCAGAAATAAAAGAGAAAGAGGAACCAAACATGCTCATTCTCACACACGGAAGTGTTAACAATTCAACTATAAACAAAGGAATATTCTGTGGTATCGATTCTTGTGAAAACTCGATTCAAGATCTAGAGGATTTTTGGAACATAGAGGCTATAGGCATTTGTGACAAAGACGAAATGAATGATGATGAGTTATCAATGAGAAAGTTTAAAAGCACACTCACCTTTCAGGATGGTAGATACAGTGTTACCTGGCCATGGAAAGAAGAAAATCCAGATTTACCCGAAAACAAAGGACTTGCAATTGGACGACTTAAGTCGTGTTTGAAAAGACTAGAAAACAAACCTGACCTGCTAGAAAAATACAACAATGTTATAAAAGACCAACTGTCAAAAGGAGTTATTGAGAAGGTTCAAGACTAGGAGAAAAGCAAGGAATTTATGCATTACTATATTCCTAATCATGCAGTCATCACGCCACAAAAGTCAACAACAAAGCTAAGGATTGTTTAACGATGCGTCGGCAAAAATATCACCAGAATCAAAGAGTTTGAATGAGTGTCTTTTTCGAGGTCCTGTTTTACTCAAGAACTTGTGTGGGCTACTTATTGAGATTTCGTTTACATAGAGTGGCAATGGTTGCGGACATCGAAAAGGCGTTTCTTCAAGTTGGTCTGCAAGACTCAGAACGCGATGTAACCAGATTCTTTTGGATTAAAGACACAAAAAGACCATCACTGTTTTCAAACAACATCGAAATTTATCGTTTCTGTAGAGTACCGTTTGGGATTATTTCAAGCCCTTTTCTTCTCAGTGCAACCATTGAGGCTCATTTGATTGCTTATGACACTAAGCTATCAGAACAGCTGAAACATGACATTTATATGGACAATATTATAACCGGAGCATCCAGCGATGAACAAGCTGTAGACTTGTATAAAGAAGCAAAAAGCATGTTTAAAGACGCCTCAATGAATCTTCGGGAGTGGAGTTCAAATAGTGAAAAAGTAAACAGTTTTATTCCAGAGGTTGACAGATCCACTGAAACTGAAACTAAGTTTCTAGGACATGTTTTGGACATAAAATCAGATATTCTGTCAGTAAAATCTGTATGTTCGAATATAAACCGCTTTCATTAGTGACAAAAAACGAATCGTACTGAAAAGAATAGCATCAGTATTGACCCCATGGGTCTTGTGTCACCAGTCATTCTTCATGGAAAAATGTTGCTTCAAGAAATGTGGAAAAGTGGTTTCGACTGGGATAACAAAGATAACAGACGAACATGTGCTCGATAAGTGGTCATTTATCAGCGATCAGCTTAGGTTGATATCTGACATAAAAATACGCCGAGTATCGTTTCTCAAGACAACTATGTAAAATACAATTTGCTTTGTTTTTTGTGACGCTTCGTCAAAGGCTTATGCCACTGCAATCTATCTACAGCAAGAAAAATGTACAACTGATGTGAATATCAAACTTGATCTTTGCCAAAACACGTCTTGCTCCAGTCAAGAAAATGACTATTCCAAGACTAGAGCTTATGCAGTGCTGATAGGGTTAGGTGTTTTGAAATTTGTGAAGACACAGTTAATGATAGAAAATTCTCACGATACCTTTGGACCGACTCTCAGGTATGCATTAACTGATTAATAGTAAAAAGCAACTTCCCGTATTTGTGAAAAAATAGAGTTAAAGAAATCAAAAACAATAATTGTGGTGATTATGCTCATGTAGACACAAAAAAGATAATCCAGCTGACGCTTTGCAACTCGAGGTTCGTCGGTTGAGTGATTTAAAGACAATTCGTTTGGTGGAACGCGTTCCCACTTGGCTTTGTGAAAGTCACGAAAACTGGAAATACAAAATCACGACAATATTATTCGACATGAATTAAAGCAAAAGAAAAGATGCAAAAAAGAAAACTATTGTTTCATTGCATGTCGAAGAAAATGAAAGCAAACAAAACATAATATTGTACCACCTTGTGGAATTGACATTCCAAGATAATTCAACGTGACAATTGTTGCGTTGCTTACAGCTCTTGCTGTTAAAGTGCATTTAGGAAACTCAAAAATGTAAAAGATGCATCGCAAAATACTAACTTGTGACGACTTACGACAGCTGAAAATTGTGGATATAGTTTAGTTTCAAAGAACATTTATTAATAAGACTATAAGAATATTCAAAAAAAAAGCCGTCCGGACTACAAAGACAAACTTGGACTGGTTATCGAACACAATGGATTATTGCGTTGTACTGGGCGTTTAGCGGAACTTCATTGCTTATCAGAAGGAGCCAAGACAACCTATTCTTCTACCTCACAAAGAAAAGTTACTTCAACTAGTGACTTCAAAAGGCACATAAAAACAAAAGGAGTGGTTATAGGCATTTAATGGATAATCACAATACGCTATCCAGAACAAGACAAACATATTGGATAACTCGCTGTCGTTCAGCGGTCAAAGCAGTACATTTTAAATAAGTGTAATGTGTGTCGCATACAAAATGCCTTTATGGCCCCACTTCCCAGGTCAAGAGTACAAAAGTCAAGTGCATTTTCACGAACATTAAAACATTCAAATGTATAGAAAAGTCTGGATATTTTATTTTCGTGTATGACAACACATGCTATTCATTTGGAAGTGATTCAGTGATTTAAGTAAAGAAGAATTCCTGATGTGCTTGGCAACGATTCATTTCCCAAAGAAACACTCCTATCGAGATTGTTTCTATAACACTGCTCAGTTTAAACTTGCAAGTAAAAGTCATAAAATCATATATGGAAAAAGTTAGTGCAAAGGAAAAAGGCAATGAAGTAATGTCATACGTAGCTTCGAAGGGCATTCGTTGGAATTTCATTGTCGAGTTAGCTCCCTGGATGGGGGGATTCTATGAACGGTTAGTTGGGTAGTTAAAAAAGTTGCACTAAGAAAATCATTAGGACGAAAAACTTCTTACAATGATTTAACTTCAAACACTTATCAAGGGAAGTGGAAACCGTTGTCAATTCGAGACCCTTAGTTACGAAGAAATGATTTATCTTCTAACATCACTTTGACACCTGGGCATTTTTTAACATTAAATCCAAACACCGGTCTCGTACCAGACTTAGAAGACGACGATGGTGATGAAAACTATTTACCTGTCGAAAGTTCAACTGAAAACTGTTAAAGATTTGGAAAAAAAAGGACAAAGATTACTGAATGAGTTCTGGAAAATTTGGCGTGATCAGTACCTTGTGAGTTTAAAGAGAGCGCCTTCAGACTCAATTAAAATCAGGACGGATTGCTGCCAAAACAATACCGAGTGTGGGTGATGTGTGCAAATAAAAGGAAAACTTTACCTAGAGGAAGGTTGGAAAATTGGTCGCATTGTTGAGTTAGTGATAGTAATGATGTGGAGAAATTCGATCTGCTAAAGTACAGCTACCTTCGAAGAGACCTGATAGGCAGACCTTTGAGCTTACTTTATCTTCTTGAATGTGATAAAAATCTCACATTTATGATGACAAAGGGATACGAACATGAGAAAAGTGAAAAGGAAAACAGATAAAAAAGTATCAAAACAGAAAGGCAGCGGAAATATTGCAAAAAAAAAAATTAAAAACTATTTTAAGTAAAAATTATAAAAAAAAAATCAATGATGTTAATAACGATGATTATTTCATAAAATGAATATGTGTTAGTTTCTAAAACATTAAACAATACATTCTGTATCGAATAGAGACAGCGAAGACAGTCTTTAATTGTTTGACATCTATAGCAATGCCGTGTTGAAACACTCAGGAAGAGATTGTGAAAGACTATTTTGTATATAAGCACTTTTATATATTCTTTTACTTCATGATATTTGGAAATAGATCATATGTATTGCATTAATTTGACACTTCTAAGTTAATCAATGTGCATTGTTGGATAGATGTTTCTAAAATCTTAATAATTAGCTCTTAGTTAATCATTTTTCTTAAAAACATGCATATTGTGTTTTCTACTATAAAATATTTGTATGCTAAATTTTCTATGGCGGGAGTGTCGCTAACATAGCGATTATGTAAACGAATACTTGGTATTTAAATGCTGTTCTTTGAATATGCTTCCTTAAACTTTATTGTATGTTTTATACTCCGTTTATTGCTCCTTTGGTTTTCGCGTCCAAAGTCTTATTATATTACATTGCTCCTTTTAACTTTTCCCGCCATTGAATTCCCGCCACAAACTATTTCACGTGCTTTTTCAATAATAGCATTGTATAAATAGCGACCGCATGGTCACAGAAGTTTAGTGTGTGTTAAAAAGTATTGTAAGAAGGAAAGTGATTGAGATATGAAAAGGATTTTGATGTAAAATACATTTAATAGTAAAAAAAGTGTTAGAGAGATAAAAACTTGTGGATTGTAAAAGTAAAGATAAAAAAGTGTTTAAAAATTGAATATTAAAAGTAAAACAATGATAAAAACAAAAGTCAGCAAAATCAGCAAATTTTATACATTTGACCTTGAAGATCAAAGTCATTTATGATTGTCAAAGTTAGTAACATCTTTTTGAAGGTTTTGTTCTAAGGGTTGTTTTTGCCAAGTATGAAGATAATACATTAAGAACTTAAACAGTTATGATCAATGTTTAAGTTTGGGGGTCAGCAACGGGAACGCCGACTTGACTGTAACAATACCTCTATTTTTTCCTTCGTGAATAGGTCCGTTTAAATTTTTTTATTAAACTAAGGCATGTAATATGCAACTGTTTATAACAAACAGTAGAAAAGAAAATTACGGTCAAAAATGACGGTCAAAAATCAACTTATATCACATAAAAGAATACAATTATGACTGGCTAACTAAACAAAAAATAGAAGATCATATTGTTCAATTTCAGCTACTGAATTTAAGTAAAATTTAAGTAAGTTAAATACAAACATGGTGGCAAAGACGGAATTCAATATTATTTTACAAAGGAACAAATGAGAGAGGGAACGGAGAATGAAAAGTATCATCTAAAATTTAACATGATGCTTTAACAAAATATAGATTGTTTTATAGTAGAATGTTTTATCACAACTATTTATTAAAAGGTCGGTCAAGTTATCTACTTGCAACGGCAACCGTTTTTATCCGGTTATTCCGGGTTATTTTTACCCATACTACCAGGGAAGCATGTTAGTAATTACAATTTAGATTCAATGCGACAGTGTTGACAGAAAAGAAGTACTTTATTTAAGTAAGGATTTTGTTTTATATCTCAAGTGCGAATAATATTTTAGTCTTTCTTGTAGTGTTATGTAATTATTAAATTTTTAAGCTGTACAAATAATTATGTTGTCGATCATATGTATACTGATCAATGGTAAGCGTTTAAAACTTATATAATAATGGACTTTTTACTCGATGCGTCTTGTCATTGTATTTTTAACTGGGATTTATTAATTGTATGACATTATTTATTATATAGCAACATGTTTTGAATTCAGTGATGATATTTGAAGCTTAACTTCATACTGACATGATTGTATGAAATAGATGGTATACAAATATGTTTGTGTGGCTCATAACTTTTGTGATCATTTTATAACATGATAGATATCTTGATTAAAGAAAATGTGCACAAATAAATAATAATTGAAAAAATTAAAATGTCAGAAAAGGTTAGAACATTAAGCAATAAAATGTGAAAGCAATGCTTTTTCTAAAAATTTTATGTTTTCATGCCCAGAATACCAGCTGCGATATTGATAAGTCGTAAGCCATACACTACATCATCGTAACCATATGATCAATTCTTATGCCACCGCTGCATCAGCACAGTGTGTGTGTTGTGTGTGTGTGTGTGTGTGTGTGTGTGTGTGTGTGTGCGTGCGATGGTGCGTGCGTGCGTGTGCCCTTTAGCTTATATGTCGAATTAAAAAAAAATCTTCTTAAAAACAGTTAGCCCAAAGTCATCCAAACTTGGCAGGATTGTTTCTTTGGTAAAGGGCTTCAAAAAATGTTCAAAGCATTTGATTCCATGCAGGAATCTGGTTTCCGTGGCAACCAAAAGAAAAAGAAAGAAAATTAAAAACAAATTTTCTTCTAAAGACTCACAAGGCCTAAAGCTAAGAAATTTTGCTTTTGCAAATGGCATTATCTATTGGACCTCTACCAAGA